GGGGGGGGTGGCATGTCCCTCCAGGGGCCAGCAGACCCCTCCGTTTTGAAAAAAAATGTATTGTTCCTCTCACTTTCTGCACTACTAAGTGGGCTGGCTGACCCTGTGGTGTGTCTTCTGCTAGCCAGGCATGAGTGGTGGGGCCTTCCAAAACTGTTGGGTGTGTAGGGGACGGGAGAGCTATGCTGGCCCTCCTGTCAGATTAATTCAGGGAGACGTGTGAGCGCCGCCCTCACTGCCGGTTTTCACACCATGCAGGAACAAGCACAAGCCATCTGCAGAGTTTTATCCTCCGCTTTTGACTCTGTCCTAACATCAGAGAAGTCCTGAGTTCTGCAAGCAAGTGGAAGCCAGCGTCCTTTGAAAGTCCATGTGCTTCTAATAAGCTCTATTTTCAGTCTGCAAGGTTGAACTCTTGTGGAAATGGGAAGTGAACCCTTGGTCTCGGTTTTTTAAAAGAAAAGTGCACAGTATAGGATCTTGATTTATATATATATATATTAAAGTATGAGTGTCTTATTAAACACAGCGTGCCGATTCTCAGTGAAGTTACTTTTCTCAGGTTAAAAGGGAAACCTCACTTGTGTTTATATACAAATCAGCTTGCCACGTGACTGTCACACAAGCCCATGGAGCAGGTGGTAAGCCCGAGGGTCTGTGAGGGAGGTCCACGCGCCGTGTGGTGCAGCCGCCTGCCTGCCCACGGAGCTCCGTCCCTGAGGTGGGGGCCTGTTACTGTGAGTTGCCGTAACACGGCAACTCTTGGCCGCTCAGGTGTGCAGAACTGAACTGCTCCACAGAGCACTGGAGGCGGTGACAATCAGTGTAAGATCACCAGGCCGGTCGGCCTGCCTTCTAAGACATCTCTGGGTAGATGTGAACTGACCCCCTTCTGCCAGGAGTTGAACACTTAGTTTGTGCATGGAGCTATAGTCAGTCAGGATGTCTGGGCTGGGGACCCAGGGTCATGCTATGCTACTTTTGAACAGTGACACGCAAAGTACATGCTTTAAAGGAGTGGGGTCAGAAACCACGATTTCTAGCCCAGAGTTAAAAGAACGTTCAAAGATCACCATTCATGCTACAAGTAACTCGCAGTTCAAATAGCTCATGTCTGACATGCTGCTGTTGGCCACTGAGCTGATGCTGGCTCAGCGCGATCCCACGGGACGAGGAAGCGCCACGTGCGACGGCCACGGTGAGGCAGGGTTCTGAGTCCATCTCTGGAAACGCAGATTACTCTGCCTCCCCCGTGGAGCAGCCGGGGTCTGTGCCTCGGACCTCTGAGTTAGCACAGCTGAGGGCAGAACCTCTGACAAAACAGAACAATTAGAGCCACGCCCATTTAAAGGTGTTTATTTTTTTCTAGTCAAATGACTAGTTAACAAGGAGAGTAAGCGTATTAAACATGCTCTAATTATAAATCACTGCATTAAGGATAATGAAAATAAGAAATTGATTTAGGTTGTACAATATATACAGTTGCGTTGCAACTAGACCAAAATAATCAAGTGAATGGACTGAGTATCATACATCTCAAATAGCATTCCATGCTGCAGCTGCGCCATCTACCCGCGACAGTAACAGAGGGCCTGTGGGTCTGCAGTGCACTGCTGAGCCCCTGTCCCTTTGACATCAGATCTGATGGAAATGGCATGCAAAATGCCAGAATCCTGCAGCTCAAGTCCATGAAACGTAAACTTTAAATATAAATAGATATCTACAATGTTTTTCTGTTGTTTTTAATCTGCAAACAGCAAATACCTAGGAAAGGATATTAGCAGGGAAGTTAATACATAATTTCTCTTCTGGCAAGAATAATATTAATTACTGCACAATAGCACCACCAAATTATGGATTGAAAAAATACTTCCTAGATATTCATGTACCAGTGACCCTGATAGATTAGCGTGGGACTCTAATTCCAATGTTGACATAAACCAATTGAATTCCTTTTGGTGGCCAAAAGCTGATCAGCAGATACGCTGCTGGAGGACTGATGATGCACATGAAGTGCACTGTGCAAAATGCATGGTGACCGTTAAATCTGAGTGAAACGAAAGGATCAAAACTATGGAAATTAACGATTAGTGAAAACATGTAGTGCTTTAAAACAAAACAAAACTTAATTGCAAATCTAACACATTTTACCCGGAACTCTGAAAGGCAAAGGGCACAAATGCCATACACATGAAGCATTCCAGTTTGTGTCTCATAACAGCAACAAAATACTCAATACAATTTAAAAAACGAAAAAGTCTCCCCCTATCGGAGTCTAGCGTGGAGAAGACAGGCTGCTTCGGTCAAAGGCACCATCCTAACAAAGGCAGTCACACCACGGCTGCCTCGCTTTCCCAGCTGATCCTAAACGGCTTCCTTGATTTCTGGTCCAAACCCAAGTGGCATCACGCGTCCTTTTCCCCAAAGTGTCAAGATTCCCAGAATTCCTGCTGAATCTCAGGCTCACAACGACTGTGAGAGAGGTATGACAGTCAAGCTGATTTTTTAATTTAATCATATACAACCTAATTTCCCCCAGTAGCTTAAGTATGATAGTATGGACTTCTAACTAAAATTGGGATATTTAAGAATATCAACGGTATTACTGGGAGCCTACACAGATTTTTGATGCTCTTGAACAAATGGAGGTTAAGTTTCAAGACAGTGTGACGACCATTCCCGTTGCTAGATTCGTACAAGACACTAGGCTGAGTACACATTCTCGTGTGCTAGGAGGGAGGCTGGGGTGCAAGCAACAGGCAACAGTGATGCGGATGCGCTCACAAGCAGGGCCGCACCACTGCACTCTGCAGCTGCTTTCAGTGCCACCAGACGTTCAAGAGCCAAGTCCAAGATAGCTGAAGCACATAACTAGTCTAAAGAGCTGTGTTTCCAATCTCATCCTTCATCTGCAACCAAATGCAGAACATGTGTTTCTGTCCCGACGTCCTGCTGGCACTGAGCGGACTGCTACTCCTGCGTGTGAGGAAACCACCGGCAGTTTGCGACAGTTTAGTTGCACATAACACCAGGCTCTACACATGCAGAATATGATGAAGGCTGCAAGCCCACGGAGAGAGCTGCAAAGTACAGCATGAATGTGGACGTGTCCACGGTGGCTGTAAGCAAACACTGGGAGGCTTCAAAGGAAGACGGGACCTTCCAGGTGAACTGCTGGCATTCTCCCTTGGAAGGCTGGCCGAGGCTGGGTGACTGGCTTCCTACACTAACGGCTGCCCTCAGGGCCACCGACTTCAGAAACAAGGGAAAGGGAGCAGGAGGGATGGGTTTTCACTGCCCTTCACCTTACACGTGGTTAGGGTTAGCTACTAAAGTCGAGTCAAGGTCTTGATCCAGTTCACCTTCCAGGAGAGCGAGTTATTCCTAAAAAGAGTTTAGCAATGTCTCATGAGAACCCCAGATTATAAAACCAATTCATTTCTACATTAAAAATCGCCTTTGACGGTTGAGAGCAAAAGAGTGGCAGTAGAGCGCAGTGCGCTAAGGTACAATACAGTTCGTGAGGCCGGTCTGGCAAGGGGGGGTACCACCAGTGTGACAGGAACATCAGCAACGGCTGAAGGAACCATTGTTCAGTAGCGATTTAGTCTGCGATAAAGTGCACAAACGATACAGGAAATGCCCCTTTGCGACTCGGATCTCCGTCAATATGGCCAATCTGAAAGGAACAAATGATGGCTATCAAAAGTCTGAATCTTCAAAAAGTATTATAGCACTTGGTTAATAACACACACACACACTCAAAAAGGTCTATTCTGAGAATACTTTGGGTAAAACATCAGTTTTTTGGTTTGTTTTTTTTAACTCACTTTTCAAACTCGGGGTGCCTGCAATAGGGGGAGCACTCCAATGGATTAGGACCTTGCTCATCAAGCTCCACTGAGCCCTGCTGGCCCCTCAGGGGAGGCAGGCAGGCAGCTAACATTGCCACCATGCCCCTTCTGCCTTTTCTGAGTTGAAATTATAAGACAATGCAGTATTGGAAGAGTGAACTGTATAGTCACAGCAAGTGGCTGTGGTGTGGCTTGGACCTTTTAGCATCTGTGGAAGTTTTCAGTAAATCTATCTACTTAACTCTGGGTGAATTATATAGTTGAGTATGAGCTCAACAATGTAAAACACTTAGGCAAGTAAAAGCACTACATGAGGCAGGATGGTGGGCAGGGTTGAAATGATTTCTTTATAGACTCACCCATCTATTCTTTACCTGCCTGTCTGCCTACCTACCTATAAAACTTGTATACGTAACATACATATATACACACACACACACATACATATATAGAGAGAGGGAGAGAGAGTGTGTGTATACTTTCAAGGGTGTTAATTCTACCCTCATCTTGAGAGGCATCCTGGTGGCATACTGGGTTATGCATTGAATCACTAGCTGCAAGGTTAGCAGTTTGAAACCACTAGCCGCTCGTTGGATGAGCGATACAAAGATGAGGCTTTCTACTGGAAACCCACGGGGGCAATTCTACCCTGTTCTACGGGGTCGCCCTAAAGTCATAACTGACAATGGCCTTGAGTTTGATTTGGTTGCTTTATCCTCATGGTAGCGGCCTTTTATTGGTACTTCCTGTTACAGCAGTGCTGTATGATGCAGTTACGGCTTACGGAGAAGCACAACTTACCAAGGCTGCACAGCCTGGGTTTGAAACCCGTGCTCCTTCTACTCCAGCTCTGACCCAGGACGCCTGGCAAGGCCCTGGGTGTCTTAGATTGAGACCGGGGATTCAGCTGTGAGCTCAGCCTTTCTATACTCCACGCCCTTCGAGCCCAGCAATTCAGGAGGAGTCGCAATCAGCCGGGGATGAGCCCATTGCATGGGAAGCGGCAGTACAGGAGGTGGCCCTGAGAGAACTGGGAGCAGCTTTCAGGCCCAGGGGAGGGTGTCTGCCCAGGACTCACCCACCACTCCTGGTCTTCCTCGCCGTCCACAATGATCATGTCACCCTCGGAGAAGGTCAGCTCATCGGGGTTGTCGGCCACACAGTTATAAAGGGCTTTGACCCGTTTGGGCTTTGCCTTTGTCTGCATCAGAGGAGAGAAGTCAAGACGTCATGCATTTAACCACTTCACTGACATAACTGACGTACATGGACCCCAATGGCATACCTATCCTGGCTTTCATGTAAAGACAATCATACAAAAACCCAATGACAAACAACACAGCCAGATGTCACCTCAAGAGGAGCAGTAAATAGTGAAAATGAAAACTAGTTAAAAAGGAGTCGAAAGGGCAAACAAGCAGTGTATTAAACTGTAACCTCACTATGTCTGCAGTAATCCACTTATCAACACCGGCTGAGGGCAAGACTGTGCATATCCCTGGGCAGCGGCTCGGGGCAGTTTTAGAGGCAGAGCCACGGGCCCTGGACACAGGCCTGTAAAGCCCACGGGAGCAGGGCTGCAGCACATCAGGGCTCAGGAGAAACTCCTGGGAGAAGGGAAGCGGTCAGGTCAGAAAACCAGGAAGAATCACAGCAGAGCTACTCAGAACAATGGGAATATGGAGCAGCACACGCGTGCACGTGTGTTGATGGTGTTAGAGAGTGTATGTGTATGTGCATGTTTAGTGGTGGTGGTAGTGTGTGTGCGCACGTGCGCGCATGCACGCCCACCCAAGCTTGCACTTTGCCCCTCTGGAGTTAGGACATGTGGCCCCTGGCACAGGAGCAGAATGATGGGCCTGCCCAGATCCAAGCAATTCTGCCCCCAAGCAGCAGCCCTTCCCGGCGGTCAGGGGGTGACCTGCTCCGAGCTCGGAGCCCATGGAGTGAGCCCGCGCCCATGCCTGGGGCATGGAGAGAAGGAGGGTCTTGTCAAGGTCTGTTTCCACTTACTATCTGTGACTTCCGGGGCATGGGTGCTGGTGGCTGCACGGCCAAGGTGCTGGACAGCAGACCCACAGCTTCTGTTCAGAGAGACCCACAGTTTTAGGACTTCACCATCGGTCCCACCCATCATACTATGAGCCCTAAGCAACACAAGCACCAGGTGCCGAGACTGAGGCACATTTTCAGAGAATTTTGATCGGTTGAGAGAAAGGCCCCTTCAAAGCCAATTAACCCCCTTAAACAGCTTTTAGAGGTGCAGCAAGTGTCAGAGTGGGATCTGAAGTGTCCACGTCAGATGAAGGGACAAGGGGCTGCAGGAGGGAGAACCAGGGCCTCTGCTGCATGGGACATGGCTGGGCCCGGACCGGACACACACTGGCCCCTTGGCTGGAAATGTCACCCACTTTACCCCGACAGACTAAGCAAAACTAAAGTCCAGTTTAAGTTAAATAATTACCAGGTCCTCTTGGCTGGCCTTTGCTGATGAGTGGGGTCACTTTGTCAGCCCTACAAGGAGGAAAAAATACATTTAGTGATACCGAAACCTAAAAGGCACGCAACCTGCCCCTCCACTGGCCCTTTTATAAGGGACCCGCCGTCTCCCCGTCAGGAGCTCTGGTAGCACAGCGGTTACACGTTGGGCTGCTAACCACAAGATCAACAGTTCAAAACCACCAGCCGCTCCGTGGTGGTGGTGGTTGTGGTGGTATGAGGCTTTCTACTCCCACTGTAAAGAGTCACAGGTCTTGGAAATCCATGAGCAGGTCGACCCTATGATCTGGTACGCCCTCCATGGCAGGGGGTTGGTTTTGGGTATCCAAGCCAGGTTATGTGTCAACCAAGCTTAGTCGTACGACTTCAACTATCTCTCAATTTTAGAAAAAGAGGGGGCGAGAAGTCCAGGGAGGAGTGCTAGCTCTGAGGTTCCTGGCCCTAAGGCCAGGGCTCTTGCTGAAGTCTCCTGGGACTGGGACGACAGACTGGAATCCCATCATCTGGGTGTGGGGCTAGAAGCTCAAGGCTAGTCGTGGGCTCTGCCTCCTATCTATTAGTCCAGTCCTCATGCAGGGCCTTGGTCTCTTCATGTGTACAAGGGCGGGGGCTACAACTTGACCTCAGGCCCTGAAGGCTCTGCCAGGCCCCACACCTGCCACGCCAGGCATGGCCGCCAAGCCTCTCCCCTCTGCAGCCTGCAGGAACATAAGAAAGGGGAGTTGGTTCCCAAGACGAGAAGGTGTTCCTATTAGGTGCCACCAGGTGGGCGCCTACTCACGATTACCATTGAATGAAGCACAGTCTAGTTTTGTGTGACCCTCGCAAGTGGTCTATTTGAGCCCATTGTTGCAGGCTGGAGTTAATCCCATCTCAGAGGATGTCAACTTTGCACTGACCTTCTCCTTGACCAAGCACAGTGTCCTCGCCTCTCAGTGTGCCCCTCGTGCGCGAGACAAAGCCTCACCATCTTCCCTTCTAAGGAGCATTCTGGCTGTCCTACTCTCCAGACTGGAAGTCCGGGCTACTTTCCACACCCCCAGGGGAATGCATCCGTTCTACTGCAGTCTGCCTCACTCTCACATGCACGCGAGGCAAACAGGAACACCAGGGGGCTGTGCCAGCTGTACCTTAGTCCCCAGAGTGACATTTGATCGTTCACACTTGGAGAGACCTTGTGCAGTAGATTCACCCAGGGCAGCGCCTCCTCTGGGCTCTGGACCGCTGCTGCTAGCAGCCTGGTGGTCCGTCCAAGAAAAATCAAATCCAGGGCAGTGCCCATCTTCTCCGTCCTCACTGTCGTCTGTGGGCCCGGATGAGGACTGTGGTTTTCCGTGTGTGAGGCTCCCGTCAGCGGTCGCGGGTCTTCATCGGCAGGCGCTGCACGTCCTCATGGCGCAGACATGGTAACCGGAAGGCGGCACGGAAGGCAGGCTGATGACTACACACAGGGTCCACTGAGGGCAGGCAGGGAACAAGCGAATCTGCCCACGGCTCTGACTGAGCGGTGGCCATAGGAGGAGTTTCTTGTCTACGTTTTCAGATGAGGGGCACTGAAAGCACTGATCTCCGAGAACTTCTGTCTCTTAGACCCCGAGACGCTGATGGTTGATGGAGCCTGTGGTGCAGCCCTATCTGCAGACGCCAGGCGACAGGTGCCCCTCATTTACCAGGCACACTGCCTCATTTTCAGAAACAAACCAAAAATCTCAGCCCCCCCCCACCCCCCAAAAAATCTCAGTGCCCCTGGCAGTGAACGACTCCTGCCCGTCATCCGGACCGCATCGTGCCACTGCCCCCGCCTGCCCTCTCCCCCCTTGCCGTCCGCGAGGAATCTGGGCTCAGGCACCCTGGAAGGTGTGATGTGAGCAAGCCTAGGCCGTTTGGAGACGTCACGCACATGGAGGTGTAATCATCAGTCCCAGCGGCTACACATGTGGAGAGAAAAGGGCACTGCCCCCAGCTGCCAAGTGTCACCCCCGGTGCTGGACCACCCACAGCCTCTGTGTCCCCTCCGCTCAGGCTCCAGACAGACGGTGCCGCACTCCGGACGGGAAGAGCCGGTCCCCAGCAGGCGCAGCGTGTCCGTGTCAGTCAACTCTGTGGGGGGGCTGCTGTCCGGTGGTGGTGGCCTCGTGGACCCTTCCAGATGGAGTCCAGCGTCGCCATCGGGTTTCCAAGGCTGTAATTTTCACAGCAGGAGCTCGTAGGTCTTCACCGTGCAGTGACGCAGGCGAGCGCTTCACCTCCGCACCACCAGGGAGTCTCGATTTGTCCCTCAGATTCTAAACCAACTCACCGCCATCGGGTCGGCCAGAGTAGAACGGCCTTGGTAGGTTTCCAAGACTAGAAGCCACGACAGGATTAGAAAGCCTCATCTTTTACCAAGGAGCAGCTGGTGGTTGTGACGCAGCGGCACTCCACTAGCAGTGAGCAAGCCCACCCCGCGGATCTTGGCTTCTACACACCATTCCCACCACGCGGACCTGATGGAAGCAGAGGTCGTCATCCTTTGCGATAAAGGGCAGGATCTGGACCCGTGGCGAAGCCTGGCTGAGTCCGAGGACTCTTGCTGGCTGTGTGTGGTCAAGGGGAAGGGCGGCGGCGGCGGAGGAGGAGGCCCTCCAGGAGACGGGTGGACCCAGCGGCTGCAACACTGCGCTCAGGCATGAGGGCTGGGCAGTGTCTGCTCCGCGCGGTGCGCAGGGTCACTCGCTATGGGTCGGAACCAACTCAATAGCCGCGAACAACACAGTGCTTGGGAGGGAGGGTGTCTGTTTGTCGGGAAGAGAACCTTCATGCTGCCGAAGGCCCCGTGGGTTCACAAAACAGAACAGGCCTGTGTGACCCAGTCTTAAGGATGTGCGAGCCCCATGCTGCATTCACTGACAGGGAGCTCACATTGTAGGTGTAAGATGCACACATGGAAGCAATGTTTAACCCCCTTGGTGGGTTACTTTCGTGACCCATGAACCCGGATGAGTTTGCTATGTAACTCTTGGCCTTGGCGGTCACAGGAGATTCTCTGTGATCCACACAGAGGCTCAGTGGAAGGCTGGGGGCCCAGCCGTCAGGGCGGGAAGGGGGCAGGTTACCCAAGAGTGGGCCTCCTCTGCGGCAGGCGGCTGGGCGGCTGGGGCGGCAGGGGCGGGGGCGTAGATTTGCTTGGTGGGACCCCCGGCTGGCCGGGCTTCATCTGCTGGTTCAAGGTGTCCATCACACTGGGGGCTTTGGCCACAGGAGGGGGCGGTGTGGGAGCCGAGGGATCTGTCGGAGGAGGGAGGGAGAGAGAAGTAGAAGTCAGACTGCAGGCTTTCCAGTCCAGGGTGCTCACCTTAGCCTTTCCGCCTTCCTCTGCCTCAATGACTTTCCCCACAGGAAAGCCTGCCGCTGGGTCACGGGGAAACTGAGTTTGGGGAAACGGAAGAATGAGTTGGGGTGTAAAGTCCTCTCCAACTGACCGGGAAGCCGCGCGCCCAACAACACTCATAAGAAGGTTTCCATTTGCCGGGAGCATGTTTCCTCGGCTACAATCGGAAGCCATCGTGGACTTCTGCACTGCACCCCAAGTCCCGGGGAACGACCAAGGGAGGCTGTGGGCTGGGGAACCTCTGTTCTCGCTGTGGTGTCTGCCCCTTCATGGGCCCAAACGCCTTTTGCTTCAGCCAGCCCATCACCCAAGGGAGATGCAGCTCCACCATGTCAATGGCCTGCCGAGCAGGGACACATCTGAGGGCGGAGCGCCCATAGGCGCGAGACTGCAAGGGAGTGGAAAGCCGCCTGGGAGGGGAGGGCTGGTGGATTTGAACTGCTGACCGTGCTATCACCGCCGAGTCACCCTGGCTCCTGCAACCACCTAGCATCATCTTAGTTCTGGGGTCCTTGATACAGTGACAGTCCGCCTGCCTCAGGGTGGGAGACTGTGCTGGGAGGGCCCCTGCTGTACCCCCCACCACATGTCTTATCTGCAGCTGCTCCCTCACTCCGGGGCGCCCTGCAGGCCACAGCACGGGGGTGCCAATGGCTGACCTGGCCCCGAGGTGCAGCACACACTCGTGGGACCTGCTGTCACTCACGCACTGCCCCCATCTTTCACGGCCCCACTCCCGCCCCATGTGCCTTCTCCACCGCCCTTCTCCTTCCGCCTGCTTCCAAAGCCAGGCGGGGCAGGCGGGAGGAAGGGGCAGCACTCGGGGCGCCCAGCGCCGACCCGTGGGGGCCTGGGGGATGGCTTCCAAGTACATGCTGCTGTGGAACAAACGTGCACCCGACGTGGTCTAAAGGACTGTCCCAACACTGGAAACCACCAAAGAGCTACAGCAAACTGACGCCCTGGGCTGATGCGAGAGAGGAGGGCAGGGTTAGAGAGTGGGGGGTAGGGTTAGAGAGTGGGGAGCAGGGCTAGAGAGGGGAGGGCAGGGCTAGAGAGTGGGGGGCAGGGCTAGAGAGGGGAGGGCAGGGCTAGAGAGTGGGGGG